TTTTGTTTGTTCGTTTTGGCTTATTATCAGCATTTTTTTACCTAGACCCTTCTGTAATGCTATAGCCATTGTGGGGGAACACATACATGCTACTTGCCCCACTTTTAACACTCGGAACTACACAAGGACATGGCTGGCAGCAAAAAGTCCACCTTCCCCATCTTTCCTAAATGACTTAGGTTGTTTAGTGAGCTTCTCCAGCATAAAAAGAAAAATCCTTGGATTGCAGACAAGAAGACCCAGTGGATCAGTTCTTAGGTGTCCACGAAGTCAGGAAAGACCGATCTCCCCTCCGTAATCCCATAGTGGTAGCCAAGGTCCACAGAACACAGAGATGAGGTAGAAAGTTATCTTTTGGAATAAGGTGAGGAGCACAAGGCAGGTCACCATTCCTTTAAAACCTCTCCTTTCTGAGCTTTCCTGCAGTCCAAAATGTTAGTTTTAGAGTACTGCACCTTTAACAGTGAGGTACATGGATTTGATAGACAGGGTGAGGTGCTGGGTGGGGTAGGGTCCTCAGTAGGACAAATAAGGACTGAAAGATGAGAGGAGGGAAATTTCTATCTGGAGTGACCTGGGAGGATGGCATGGCGGTTGAGCAGGAATTGCACAGATGGTTACAGGCAGAGGCAATGCTAAGAGAAGTGTGGACATGCAGAGGAGACCAGTCCATGAATAGCCTTGATGTCAGATGGTCCAGTTGGGGCTGACTGTTCCTGAGAAAACAGAGCTCAGAGCTGGGCTTAAGGATGACAAGAGGCAGAGTGCAATGAATGGAGAGGAATCGCAGGCAAGAAGATMGCCTAAGAGGCCACTGCAAAGAGGGAAGGAGTATGGGAGACAACCCCACACAGGGGTCATGGCTGGCATATCAGAGAGGGCAGTGATGGTGTGGTGGGAGACAGGGCTGATGGGGAATGAAAACAACAAAGAGATTGAGAAGTTGAGTTGTAGGCACCAGTCTAGGGGAAGTGCTGCGGAATATTCCAGAGAAAATGGACCATCCAATAGCAGATAGAAGTAATAGCCCAGAGCCAGGGGATCTGAGGATAAGGAGGAGCCGTGGACAGAGAGAGGTCAATGAGATGGGTTCAGGGAGCAGGCCCTTCACCCAGTCTCCTAACTTCTCCATTACTGAGCAGATAACACTAGAAGGTACTCGTGTAAGCAAGTCTGAAGCCTAGCCATTAGTACAAACTCTCTTTTCAGCCAGTAGAGGGTCCTGCCAATAAACCCCCAAGCAGCCTCTAGGGTACCTTGAATAGGGAAAGCAAAGTCGAGAGCCCAGGTTCTGCTAAGAGAGCTCAGAGATTAATGGGTAGGCCTCAGGACCATGGACGGCACAAGGGGACAGTGAAGTCCCTCCAGGTGGGCAGAAGGAGATTGTCCTGCCCAGGTGGGAAGGGCTACTTCATAGTTATGGCCTCAGACCAGCTAGGGAGTGGGCATTGGGCAGCAGCAGAGGTGAAGAGCTTAGGGTAGGCTAGGAGGGCTACCGGTCCTTCATCTCCCAGCACTTCTGTCCTAACTGAAGACTTTCTGCTTTTGCGGTCTCTTTTATTTATTCATGAAGAATTATGAGATCTCAGAAACTCTGATTTAGTCAGCTTTTTCATCACTGTCACCAAATTCCTGATAAGAACGATTTAGAGAAGGAAAAGTTTATTTGGGGCTCCCTTTTCAAAGGTCTCAGTCCATAGATGGCCAGCTCCATGGCTCTGGGCCCAGTGGAGGAAAACTGCTGAGCTCCCTGGCTGGGTCAGGAAGCAGAGAGAGTGGAGGGTAAGGAGAGGGAGGGTCCCCAGGGACCCCAGTGACCCACTTGCTCCAGCCATTACCCACCTACCTAAAGTGACCACCCAGTCATTGGTTCAAACTAGGATGGACTAATCAGGCTACAGCTCTCCTAATCCAATCATTTTTATCTCCAAATATTCCTGCATTAACAAGAGCTTTTTGGGGATACCAATGAACTATTTTAATAATGGTGTCCTCCTAGATACATTCAGTTCAATGAAGACCTGGATTCATGTCCTAGCTCCACTAATAGATTGTGATTGTCCATGTCTTATTGTTGCTAGCAGCTAAGTAACTTTGAACAAACATCTTGGTGTCTCTGGTCCTATCTGTCATCATCTTTGCTATGGGAGTAATATGTCACAGGTGAATGTCAGGCAACCTGATTATTTGAATGTTCCTTGACAGCTGTCATTCCTTATGTAAATTCTGACTGTGAACTGTATGGATGAAGTCCTGTTACTCCTGAGAAATTCAAAATAATCCTGTGTGAAGTAAGCTGCTTTTTGGGATGGATAATAGGGAAGAAAGAGCCTTTTTAAGGTGGGCCACCTGATTTATTCCTCTATTGGTATTTAGACTTAAAGCAGCCTGGAGAGTTTGGGCACCTACCTACAATTGGCAGTGAAGCCCACCTAGCTTTCCTCCCATCCCTCTGAGCTAGTCCTCATGCCTCATGGGTGGGTAAGGCTCAGCTCGAAGGACAACAGTGTTGGAGGAGACATTGCTAGAAGATATATAAATTCAAGATGGTGTGCAACAGAGAGGAAGAGGCCAGGGTGTGGTGGTAGTGAGTGAATTATTAGGTCAGTGCTTCTCAACCCTTGATTGCAATTGTTGGTCAAATTCACCTCTGACACACAGCACCTTACATGACGCTTGTCAAATAAGTCATTCACCAGTATTTGTGAAGTTAGTGGGGGGAAAAAGAGGAAATAAGTAGAGGGGAATCCTGATCTCAATCTACACAACATTTCTGCTGCTGTCAAACCCACTGAGGTAGTGTCAACATGGAGCCGATCAATGGGGTACTAAAAAGTTGTGCATCATTAAGATACATTCTAAATACATGAAGTTGAAAGAGTAAGCTTACTAAACAAAAACAAAACCAACCAGGAATCTAACTTGCATTGGTTTGCTGTCACTTAGCATGATAGTCTCAGCAAATGCCATAATTTCATTCTTCATTCTTCTGAGTAATATTCCATTTTGTATATATACCACATGATATTTATTTATTCATCTGTTGAAGGGCACCTAGGTTGGTTTCATAGTTTAGCTATTGTGAATTGAGCTGCTATAAACATTGATGTGGCATATCACTATGGTGTGCTGATTTTAAATCCTTTGGGTATATGCTGAGGAGTGGGATAACCGAGTCAAATGGTTCTAAGGAATCTCCACACTGCTTTCCAGAGTGGTCACACCAATTTTCAGTTCCACCAGCAATGTTTTTATATGTACCTTTTYCCCYATATCCTCGACAACATTTATTGTTACTTTTATTCTTAAAAATTGCCATTCTCACTGAAGTGAGATGAAATTTCACTGTAATTTTAATTTGCATTTCTCTAATTGCTAGTGATGTTGAACATTTTTTCACATATTTTTGACCGTTTGTATTGTTTTATTTATTTTTTAATTCACGACAACAGTGGAATGCATTACAATCCTTATTACACATATAGAGTACAATTTTTCATATCTCTGTATATAAGGTATGTTGACACCCAATTCAAGTCTTCATACACGTACTTTGTATAATGATGTCCATCACATTCCACCATCCTTGCTAATCCCCTGCCCCCTCCCTTTCCCTCCCTCCCCTCTTCCCTATCTAAAATTAATCTATTCCTCCCATGCTCCCCCTCCCTACCCCACTATGAGTCACCCCGCTTATGTCAGAGAAAACATTCTGCATTTGTGTTTTTGGGATTGGCTGACTTCACTTAGCATTATCTTCTGTATTTTTTTATTCTGTGAAGTGCTTATTCCATTCCTTTGCCCATTTATTGATTGGGTTATAGGGTTATAGGGGAGATTGGTGTTATGTGTTTTCAGTTCTATGTATATCCTTGGTATTAACATTTTATCTGAGGTACAGGTGGTAAAGATTTTCTCCTCCCATTCTGTAGGCTCTCCATGTTCTTGATTATTTCCTTTGCTGTGAAGAAGTTGTTTTTTTTTTTTTTTTTTTAGTTTGATGCCATTCCATTTATTGATTCATGATTTTACTTCTTGCATTTTAGGAATCTTATTGAGGAAGTCAGTTCCTGAGCGGACATGAGCCTTACTTTTTTTTTTCTTTAGTTGTAGTTGGACACAATACCTTTATTTTATTTATTTATTTTTACATGGTGCCGAGGATCCAACCCAGGTCCTTGCATGCACCAGGCAAGTGCTCTACCCCTGAGCTACAACCCCAGCCCAGGGCCTACTTTTTCTTCTATTAGGCACAGGATCTCTTGGAGAGATTTCCCATGTTCTTAGATAGACAGAAATAATATTGTCAAAATGGCCATACTACCAAAAGGTCTATACAAATTTAATGCAGTTCCTTTTAAAATTCCAATGACATTCTTCATAGAAAGAGAAAAGGCAGTTATGAAACTCATTCAGAAAAATAAGAGACCCAGAATTGTCAAAGYAATCCTCAGCGAGAAAAGTGAAGCAGGAGACATCACAACACCAAACCTTAAATTATATGACAGAACTGTAGTAACAAAAACAGCATTTGGCACCAAAACAGATATGAAGACCACCAGAACAGAATAGAAGACACAGAGACAACCCCACATAAATACAGTTATCTCATTCTGCACAAAGGCACCATTAACATACATTGGAGAAAAGAGTCCCTTCAACAATTGGTGCTGGGRAAACTGGAAATCCATAGGGAGTAGATTCAAATTGAGCCCCCATCTCTCCCCCTGCACAAAACTTAACTACTTTTTTAAAGTCCTCATCTCCAAATACAGTCACAATCTTAGGTACTAGAGATTGGGACTTCAACATGAATTCCGTGGGGAAACGATTTACCCTACGACTGGAGCCAACAATAGTAAAACAGCCCCAGAAGCATTCTTCATGGCATATATTTTGCTAGATATTTTTAAAATTCAGGATAAGATAAATTCTTCATACGTTGAAACTCACAAGGGTCTTCATGTTTATGTCAATTACTTTTTTTTTTAATGTTTTAGGTCCTCCTGGCCCCAGAGGTCCAAAAGGTGACCGAGGATCTCAGGGACCCCCTGGTCCAACTGGCAACAAAGGACAGAAAGGAGAGAAGGGGGAGCCTGGTCCACCCGGCCCTGCAGGCGAGAGAGGCCCCATAGGACCGGTTGGTCCCCCGGGAGAGCGTGGTGGCAAAGGCTCCAAAGGCTCGCAGGGCCCCAAAGGCTCCCGTGGGTCCCCCGGGAAACCTGGACCTCAGGGACCCAGTGGGGACCCAGGCCCCCCAGGCCCACCAGGCAAGGACGGACTCCCCGGCCCCCAGGGCCCTCCTGGCTTCCAGGGCCTGCAGGGCACCGTGGGAGAACCTGGAGTGCCTGGACCGCGGGGACTGCCGGGATTGCCAGGGGTGCCTGGTATGCCAGGACCCAAGGGCCCTCCTGGCCCCCCGGGCCCATCAGGAGCAGTGGCACCTCTGGCCCTGCAGAATGAGCCAACCCTGGCACCAGAGGTCAACGGTAAGTCTGAGCTTTCCATTCCAGTGGGGGTTGGGAGGTGAGTGTGAGTGTGCTCACCCTGGACTAATGCCACACTCCTGCCCCCTCCCACCATGTTATTTACCAGGGAGGCATCATGGAGGCCACGGACGGCGGCCCCTGCTGCTCTAATAGGCCCTGGTCCAGGCAGCTCACACACCCCACACCACCCAGTTCTCCAGCACTTGTTTATTTGGAGGAGTGGGGCTCTCAAGAGACCAGCACACCCTGAACACTTCCTTAATGACAGCCCACAGCCGGCCACTCCCTGCCACCCTGTCCTCATTTTAGTCCCTTCAGGCTGGGGACAGACAGTGCCCTTGGTTTACTTCATCAGCATGCGGATGGAATTTCTGTGTTGACGCCCAGATTCCATTTCTTTTTAAGAAGGTGTCCTGGAGCCTGCGAGTCCCTTGACAATTCCACCTTTGGCAAACGTGTCATTGGTTCGCATCCAAGCCTGTGAGGCAACCCCCGTTCCACTTGATCTGCTCCAGTGAGACTCCAGTTACCTTTGCTGTTCCAGGAGCCTGGGGGTGGTTCTGGGTTCTCCCATCCAGTTGTTCGGAGGTTCCAGAAGATTCCAGACTGACGATCTCCAGCTGCGCCTGCCCTGCTTTCCGTTGTTTCTGTTATTTCTATCACTGTAAAGACTATTCCAGGCACAGAGGAATAAAGAGTCAGTCACAGACGTTCCCAGATTATGTGGTTTTACTACTGTGTGCTCTGTGGTCCACGTGGGAGGACTAGTCTTTACTCTTAGCTTGTTGGTGAACGTCAACCCTGGGCTGCATGCGGGGGAGCCTTGGGTGGCTCCTGGCTTGTGGGTGACTGCTCACTCACAAGGAGCTGCAGCTTGGGCCTCATAACCATAGCTGAGAAGCTGGGTGCATTCTATGTGTTTTTTATTCAGTGTTTTAATTAAACCTTTGTATTCCCAGGCTGTCCACCTCACTGGAAAAACTTCACAGACAAATGCTACTATTTTTCGGTGGAGAAAGAAATTTTTGAGGATGCCAAACTTTTCTGTGAAGACAAGTCTTCACATCTCGTTTTCATAAACACCAGAGAGGAGCAGGTCTGTTTGCCACACACCTGGTGGAGGAAAGCTGTAATTTAAGGCTATGTTACCTCAGGAAATTGCATGCCTGCTGGGGAGTCCAAAATATCAAGAATTCATAGTCACATAAACATGGAAGGCTCCATTATGGAGATACTCTATCCAGTGACTGGAAGTATTAACAGCATTGATGGGAATTCTGTCTTCTTCCTGCCTCTGCCTGGGAGAGAGGGTTTCTGGAGCCTGGAGATGTACAGCTCCTCCCAGTGGCTGTTGGGAGAGTCACAGTGCAGAGAAGCATGAGGTTGTGGAGAAAGAGCCAGAGAACAGAGCACTTGGAGGGCTGGGGGGTGGGAGGCTATGAGGGACAGGACATTTGGCCCTAGGGGGGTCGGGGAGAGCACAAAAGTCTGAGGAGGAAGTAGGGCCCATGTGTGACAACCACAGCAACCACTTAATAGACCTATGCCATATGCTGGGCACTTGGAAGACATTTTCTTTTTTGAACCTCTTTATAATTTCCCATTTTCTAGAATAGAAAAACAGGCCCAAGGAGGTTTAAATGCTGTATTCATAGAACATCAAGAAAATCCAGAGTCGAGATTGGGACTGAGACCCAACTAGCAACAAGGCCAACGCTCTTCCTTTGGTGCCACCCCATTCCAGTGACCTCTTTTCTTTCCCCCCAGATATTTCTAGCAGACATACCCTTTAAAAAAAATAATAAAAAGAGTTCTCTTAAAGTAACTGCTAAGGAAGAGGAGAGCAGCTGAGCCGCTGGGCTTTAGAGTAAGCAGACCCGGGCCCCATCCCAGCTCAGCCCTGTCATCTTTGGTAAATAGGATGTGGTAGAGGCTTAAGGACACACTGCACACCACATGGCCATGGGACCTGGCCCAGAGGAAGAACTTAGTAATGCCACGGCTATTCCCTGTCAGCAGCTCACAGCAGGGATGGGTGACAGAAGGGAAATGAGGCTTCACTCAGAGGATTCTTGGAGTTGTCTGGGTGATCTGGAGGACGGGCGTCCCTTTAATATCATTCGAAAACTTGGGAGAGGAAAAAGTCAAAGCCCCCAAAACAGAGCCAAATGAAGCAAGCACAATGGAAAGAAGGCCACAGAAGCCACTATACATTTTGACAAATGTCCTCTTTAAATTGTCCCTTTTCCCATATGTTAAGCCAAAAAAAATTCCCTCAGACACCTGTGCCAAGAAATCATAGTGCATCTGCACTGATTTATTTTTTCAGCAATGGATAAAAAAGCAGCTTGTGGGGCGAGACAGCCACTGGATCGGCCTCACAGACTCCGAACAGGAAAACGAATGGAAATGGCTGGATGGGAAGCCTCTGGACTACAAGTGAGTGCTCGGGAACGTCCCGTTGGTGGTCAGATGCGCACCGTTCTGTGTGTCCACCTCTGGCCCATCTTCCTGAAGTTTCTTTCTTTCTGACCTTATATTCTAGCCCTCCTCCCAAGGCAGGCTCCTGGTACCCGGTGTGTATTTCTGCGAGGGCAACTGTGGTTGACACTTGCTATGCCATTGAGTAGGCTTTCCCCCTTTTCTTTTAATGGAGTGAAGTTATTTTTTTTTTCATTTTTAAGACCAAAATCACGAGACTTATAAAAACTTATAAAAGTACCACAGTATGGTACTTCTGGCCAATGTGTGTGTGTGTGTGTGTGTGTTAATGCTATCAGGAGGATAATGAAGCCCAGCAACCTCAGGCCGGTTCAGTGTTGATCTCAGATATGTTTCTGAGGACTGGGGACTCCCTTCAGGATGATGCTGGCCTCCAGGAGGCTACTGGCCAGAGTGAGATTATAAACTACAAGATCTTGATGCTTCTACACATGGGAAACTTATATGCACCACAAAGTTGCATCATAGTACCATCATCTCCTAAAGGTTGGAAGGTTCCCTGTACATCCCAGGTGGCCTGAGTTCTACAAAAGCAGCACAAAGAATGGAAGCACTTTGCAATACCTTCTCACATCTCCCAGTTGGAAGGAAGATTCTAGAGTTGCCTCCTACCCAGGGGTGTCAGCTCCCTGCCTAATCCTAGCCAGGGATCTAAGGATGAGTCAATTCTATAAATTTGAATTTCACTTCTCTCTACTCTGACCTTGCCTCTTCTAGATGAGGAAATATGCAACAAACTGTTCCAAGTGGGGCAGAACTTATAAAAATCCACCTCTAGAACCATTAGTTTGATGAAAGCAGAGAAGCCAGGCTCAGCAGAGGCTCCATCAGGCCCTAGATCTCACCATAGAGAGAGTGTCTGAGAACAGCAAAGTCCCTGGGGCTGTTCCAGGCCAGGAGAGGAGAAGACAAGAGTGTTCTGGGTTTAAAAGTGACACAGGTATCCAGGCAGCCCTGTATTGGAGGAGTGGCAGTAGGCTCAGAGGTGATGGAGAAACCATGTAGAGTTTTAAAAATGCCTCTGCATGCATATGAGCATGCACATGGGTAGACAGGTGGCTTTGTACTTTTAAATCCTCCACGTGAAGTACATGACTACAGAATATAGGTGGAAACCAGAATCGGGTCATCTCCTAGAAGAAGAAAGAGACCAATTATTAAGGTAGAGCGTTTGAAGAGTTTAGATCTGCCCTGTAGGTGAGCCTCATACTGCTCACTAAGGCCAGTGGATATCTGCCTGCTGGCCCGTCCGATTCTCTGTCTGCTCTTCTGCACCTGTCCTTGGGGGGAGGAAGCTGTGCCCTGGCACACTCTGGCACTCCAGAATTCCCTGACACCCCAACAGGAGCACGCAGAATAGCAGGGATGCGCTTCAAGAGACTTAAAACAGTTTGGGTGTTGACGTCTAAAACAGGAGCTATGGAGGTTTGCAGGTGGGAATGGGAAGCAAAGATTATTAGCGGAAAAGACAAATCTATTTTTTTTTTTTTTGACAGCCGAGAGCCAGGATATTTTAAAAGAATTGAAGGGAGCTAAGGAAAAAATCCATCTTCTGCACTTTTCTCACTAGCATGAATGGAAAAAAGGTCTGGGTTAGACTCACTAAGAAATTCAATCTTAAGCCTTCCTCCAAGAAAAAACTGAATTGGCCCATATGGAATGGATTGAGATGGAACAACACTGTCCTCGCCAGCTCTCCCAAGGTGAAACTCGGCTCCTTTTCCCTGGGATCCAGCAAGACTTATGTGATTTGGGTGGAGAGTGCCCATATTAGTACCTGGTCCCTGAGAAGGATTACATCACCAGACACCTTACTAGGAACTTGTCCCCAGCCACAATCACTCTGGAGCCTTCTGCTAGCTCCGGCTCCTGCGCCCCAGCCACAGCACAGACTCTGTGTCTCATTTTCCACCCAAAGGAATACATACACATGTATAAATCCCCAGGATCAAATTCTAAAAGCAAGAATAAATTAGGCAGACATCGTATGAGGTCTCAATAACTGAAGGCTAATTTAATTTGACATATCATAATAAACACTGCTCAGGCTAGAGAAACAGGCAGTGTAGTCAAGGAGAGGAGAAGGAGCACATGTGTTGGAATCAAGCAAGATCTGGGTTCCAGGCCCTCAACCTGATGTCTCAAGGTCCCCTGGGAGTTACTCAGCCATGCAACATCTCGACATCCCCAGGTATAAACATGAGTTTAACAAAATATCTATGCCAGTATTTTGAAAATTCAGTGATATATATATATATATATATATATAATATATATATATATTATATATATATATAAAATGTGTAAATATATATCATATATTTGTATACATGAATTTCTTAGTGAATCTACCACAGGCCTTGTTTTACCTTTAAGGCAGTGAGAAAAGTAGAAGAGATGGATTTTGTTTTTTAGCTCCCTTCAACTCCCTGTAAAAAGATCCTGGCTTTCTTTGACTGACAGAGAATTAACTTGGTCATTTCCTTTAATCTCTGCCTCCCATTCCCATATCCAACCCTCCACTGCTCCTGTTTTCAATGCCACCACCTAATAATAATGATAATAATAAATATAATCATGTATGTATATATGTATATATATGTGTGTGTGCATATTATATACTCACATATATATGGTATTTAGTACAGTGCTTGCAATGGGGGACTTGAGAAATATTACCTGCAAGTATTGGTACTATTATTACTATTATCATCATAATCAGTATATTATCATAGTTTGCAATAATCGATATACCATCATAATAGAGTACTACTATCTGGAATTTCTATATTGAACAATGTCCTGACTGAGATGCCACACACAGTATCTCATGCAAGTCTTATGAGAGGTGTGTAAAGAAGACAAGAAGAGTACAATTTCCTGTCATGGTATCGGCACAGAGACTGGGCTTCCCCAGTGTCCTATCCCCAGATGCTTCTTCACCTATTCAGGTCCAGCTTTAGCCTCCTCCTCTCTGTTTCTGAGGGCTCCAAGCAGAGAGCCATGTATCTCCCTTTCTCTCGCCACCAGCAATCATTTCAGGGTCTAGAGATCACAAGAGATTATTATGAACTATTATACACCAACAACTCAGATGACTTAGAAGAGCGAAGACATTTCTAGAAATGTACAACCTATCAAGAATGGAATCAAGACGAAATAGAAAGCCTGAAGAAACCAGTAACAAATAAGGAGACTGAAGTAGTCATGAAAAACCTCCCAACAAAGAAAAGCCCAGAGGCTTCACAGCTGAATTCTACTCAACATTCAACAAGGATTAATACCCGTCCTCTTCAACTCCTCCCCAAACCAGAAGGAGACAGCCCCGGCACCATCGCTCCAGGCCTTGCTCAAGCCACAAAATAATTAAGAGCCTTAGCTTCCCTCTTACCCTTTTCCCAACACACACATGGCCCTTCTGAAACTGTTTAAGGGTTTTGTGGTTGTTGTTAAAGAGGAACTAGTCAAGGAATAAAAGACTCTCTCCTCAGCCTCTCAGCCTCACTGTGCTGTGCCTGCTGAGACCTGCTGGAGAGGAGCTACTGGAACAGACAGATGAAAAGTGACACTGATGTGAACTAGATGCCAAAAGCTCAGGGAACAGACAGACCTGTATTCGGGTTTATAGCCCATAAACCGTAAAGCCTGACTCACCACATCTTACACTAGTTCTGCACTGGAGTAGGACCAGCAGGGGAAAAGGACCTCATGAGATGCACTCTGCCATAGGTTGGGACAGTGCTCGGGCACACCAGTGCCATTTCAGCACAAAGATTGACCGATGACTCTATAGAGTGACAAATTTATTTTGCCTATGAAGGACATGTTTTTTTTTTTTTTTGCTTTAAATAACCTATCAACAAATCATAGCATTAAAAATAAATAATAAACCTACCCTCCTTTCCGAAAAAAGAGACAGTTGGACATCTTACAGTCAGTCACACACATTCACATGTCAACACACACCTGTTTTTCTCATTTCACTGCGTACCTATGAAAACTTGATTCCTGGCCAGCACCTGCCCCCCTGACTGGAGATCGGGGGGCTATTCATAGTCCTGAAATAACATTTGATGAATTATCCTGAAGTCTCCATTGTGAACCAGCCTGTGTGCTGGCCTGTGGGGTCTTTTGGAATATGGAGGCAACAGTGTGGGTAAGAGGTGTTATCTTTGTTCTCAGTTAGAAAAGATAGATTTTCAGGCTGTGTCATAATAAAGGGGATATAACCCTAAAAGGGGATATAGCAGGACTTTGAAGGAGATTTCAGCATTATCTTCTCAGGAAATGACAGAACAGGTAGATAGAAAATTAGTATGGATATGGTAGACATGATCAACTAACTTGACAATTAACATCCATGAGACATTTCACCCAACAGCTGCAAATACTTCCTTTGCAAGTGCATGTGGTATGTTCACCAAGATCAACTATATGCAAGCCCATAAAACAAGTCTCAATAATTTTAAAAGAAACTGAAATTACATAGAATGTGTTCTCTGTCTAAAATGATTAAATTCAAAATTGATAACAGAAAGATCATCTGTAAAATTCAAAATGTTGGGAAATTAAATGAAACATTTCTAAGTAAACCACAGATCAAGAAGAAATCACAAAGGAAATAGGAATGTTTTTAAAAAATGAGACTACAACATGTCAAAAATTTGTGGTACGCAGCTACAACAGTGTTTAGAGGACCATTCATATAGCCTTAAAATATGTACATTGGAAACATTTTTTAAAGATTGAAAATCAAAGATCTAAGCTTCCACTTTACTAGGGTAGAAAAATAAGAGCAAATTAATCCCTAAATAAGGAGCACAAGGTCCTTGAGTTCAATCCCAGCACCACACATATACACAAGATGAACAGAAGGAAAGAAACGGTCAATACCAAAAAAAAAGCACTGAAATAAAAAACAAACAACAGAAAGGATCAGTGAGAGTAGGGTCATATCAATGCCAATATTTCTACTCTTCATGGAGTAAGTGTAGGTATACCATTTGGTAGCTTGTCATTGTTAATGAAGGCTGTCTGTACCGGGCAGAACTGGATATGTATGGGACTTAGGGTCTGCCCATCTGCTCAGGGCAATAAATCTTGCCCTAATGTGCTTATAGTTGCTCACCTGAAATCACCAGAGATGTGAGAGTCTTCCTAGAGCTTTCTCCAAACACTTTATAATCTCCTCTTCCCCTCTGTCTGTCTGTTCTATCCATCTGGAGATCATCTGTCAAGTTTTGAATAACAGTTTTCATCTTTATCTCACAAAGATCAGACACAGGTTGCCTTTCCGACCATGCAGACAGCTCCATATCACATTATATGTTGTGCTTTTACAATATAGAACCACAGGAAGGCAGGGACCAGAAGGGAATCTCCAGTGTCCTCGAGTTCAATAATAGCCCACGCCAGTCCACACTTCCCATTTCTGCCAGAGTGGGACTGGCTGAGGCTACAAGAGAGGAATCCTCCACATCTCCCTTGTGTTGGGAGAACATTCCACTGCAGAGAAACATTTCTCATCACTAACTATTTTCTGTTCTGAGGCCAGGTCCTTACCAGCAGAGGTTTCTTGGCCATGTGGCCTCAATCTTGTGGTTGATGAGAAAGTCGTAAGTTGTGAGGTTGGGAAGAACTCTTCCCAAGACTGGGAACATGTTTTCTGCCCACATTAGAATGACCCCTTAAATCTGGGGGTGCTCGGTATCACTAGCTGATGTGTTTATGTGTTTCCAGCTCAGTGGAGATGCCAGTCTAGGTGTTTCCAAGGTCCCTGGTGTATTTGGAAGTACATGTGTTGCTCCCTAGTGACCTCTGTGGTGTGTGTGTGTGTGTGTGTGTGTGTGTGTGTGTTGTAATAGGGGACTCTGATTTTCAGCACAGGCTCAATCTTTCTTCTTTCCAGAATCTTTCCAGGGTAAGGTGCTATTTAAGCTGACATTCTTTTGCAAAATATATACATTCTGTTTATCTGGCATGTTCTGTTCCATTGTATTGTAAGCACACAGACCTTGGGGTTTTACCCCAAGTCACTCCATGGGATTTTAGCTATTTCAGAGAGATGCTCTGAGACTTTGAATGTTCAATTTACAAGATGAATTGCCCCTGCCACTGGCTTCTGGTTGCCCACCTCCCACCCATGCTGGCTAAGCTTTTAGTCCTAAGAAAATCCTTGAGCTCTGTATGTGAAGAATTCCAGTGACCTAGAAAGCCAAAAGGAGAACAGTGATAAAGCCATCTCCTTATCACTTGGTTATCTTCCAGTCTAGTCTCTGATCTTCTTTTATCTACTTAGCTTGCCATGACTTAAAAGAAAATGCAATATAAAACGGGTCTTCTAAACACAAAGAAGCCATATGTATAGTTTGCCAATTAACAGAGAAATCAAGAATATCAAATATTCCACTCAGGAATTGTAGATCTCCAGTTTTGTAAGTAAAATTAGAATCAGCCCCTTTCATGTTACTGGCAGAAATGGATGAAATGTACATGAACAAGATCAAAAACTACTTGGGCATGATTGATACTTCCAAGGGTGTCCTCCTGCAAGGTGGATAGAACTGCACACACACACACACACACACACACACACACACACACACAAATACAGTAAACTGTTTTTTCCTTCCCACCTTCATCTGTGTCTGGCATCACAGTGACCACCTGAGATTCTGAATTGTTATATAAGTTCCTTGAGAGCTGGGACTTTGTGGTTTGCAATGCTTCGTTGCCATCACCAGCACATAGTAGGTATTTTATGGGTATGGAGTGAGTTTTCTAATTCTCCCTAAGCATCATTCCATTTTTTTATTCTCATCAACCATCAGTTGATGGTTTCCTCTAAATTATCTGCATCATTAGATTTATTTCATTGAGATCATTTTATTTTTTAAAATCCCAAGACACATGTTTGGGCCTGAGGATGTCAGTCGCTTTCCCACCCATTGACAATAAACTTCACCTGTCCTTTCCTACTGCCCTCTGGTTTTGGGGTCATATTGTCAAAAGCTATAGGGCAGTGAGTGCCCCTTGGGTGACTCCAGGATAACCTTTGGCTGATGGGTAGTGATGTGAAGCACCTGCTGCAGGTGTCCTTTCAGACCCGCCACGTGAGGCCAGCTTGTCCTCTTGGGCAAAAACTACAAGTGTCTGTGTGTGAACCTGCATCTTTGGAAAAAAAAAAAAAAAAAGAAAAGTTCACCTTCAAGAATGGAGTGAGGAAGCACAGCTAATTTACTGCACAAAAACAGAATCAAGAACTGTTAGCTCTGGCAAACTGATTCTTTGAGGAACAGCTTCCAAGGTAACAAGCCCCAAGTGAACTCATCCTAAAGAGTACTTGTTCTGAAGAATCTTGCCTCCACCAGCACAGCCAAACTAGCAGGTTGCAGAGAGGAAGAAATAAAGAGTCAACACACGCAGATCTTGAAGATAAAAACATCTGGGGTCTGGTGGAGCGCTGCTCTCTAATGGAGAAGCAGGTCTAAAGAATTACACCAGCAATCTTTATTATATATGTCTCTAAATCAGATTAAAGACGATGCAAGCATTATTCTTTGTATTCATGAAAGTTACAGTTAGCAACAGTATGCAGCTGTTTCCTCAGTTACATTCTACAGTTGCAATGTGCAATGTTAGGAGCATTGTGCAGGTCTCAAGAAAGTCCATTGTTTAAAGTTACTGGGCAGATTCAGGAGCAGCAGAACTGGTAAACATTGTGGTTATCTTAGCAAGGAAGTTCCTTCTTTCCCAGGAGCTGCTGTGCCTGAGATAAGGTCAAAGCTGATAAGACTCTAGCACCGAGGACATTGCCATAGCAACTGGGCATCCTATGCCTTTGCACAGAAATTTTCCCAGTCACCAAGTAGACCACAGCCATGAAGTCTTCAGGGACCCCAGTCTCAAACACTAGTCTCCCAGTCACTGTCACTGTTTTCCACAGAATCTCTCTCCTCCCAAAAAGGCAGTGAAATATGCAAGTCACTTTCAGTGGGGTTAAATTACTATTTCTTTCTAAAGGAATCAACCATCCACATCTAGCCGGAAAATCGTTACCCATTGTTTGTCACTGTAGGTTCTTGTGGATGCCTATCAAGGTTCTCTCTCCCTTGATGCTTTAACATGTGAGGGACACAGTATCCATGTGTACAAGCATCCCTCTGAGTTCTCACAAGCAGGCATGCGTGTGAGACGAGCATGGGTACGTGCACATCTACATACCCACATCCCCAGAGGTCAGCATTCCAATACTCATTAGGAAGCCATTCATCTCATTGTGTCACAAAAGGAGTCACTCCCTCAGCATTGTGAAGAAGCTCCATGAGTTGATTTCATCATGGCAAAGATAACAAGCCTGCAGGGCTTGCACTACCCATGGCCCTGCAGAACAGCTGCTTCTGATTTTGAATAGAGTAGGCCCTGCTTTCAAATAGTGCCCTTTCATTCCAGGACAAATGACATGCTTCAGGGTTTTTTTTTTTGGGGGGGGGGRTGGGGGGTTGGTTTTTTGGTTTTGGGGGTTTTTAACATTCTTCTGCTGCTAGGAAGCAAAGCAAACCTCTGCATTACTATGCAAATAACACTCCGTTTCTGTTTCTTTCAAAGAAATTGGAAAGCTGGACAGCCAGATAACTGGGGTCATGGCCATGGGCCAGGAGAAGACTGTGCTGGGTTGATTTATGCTGGACAGTGGAATGATTTCCAGTGTGAAGACATCAATAACTTCATTTGCGAGAAAGACAGGGAGACAGGTAAGCAGTGGATGGGATTTATGAGGTCACTGCAGAGCTCATGTCCTGTTTCAGGGATAGAGTTAGTAAGGGGAAGGACTCCAAATGCAGGCTCTTCAGTTAGGTTTTGATCTGGTTCTGCTACTAACAGTGGGTTAGATTATTAATCTTCAGGAAATAATAATGAGATATTGATCATTGGTTGTTGTTAGGACTTACAGAAGGTAATAAATGTGCCAGATATATAGGAAGTACTCAATAAATGTCAGACTAACTGGTCCAGGTCAACAGCTTATAATATTGTCACTTAACTGTTCTTTAATATGGCACCAGTGTCACATCTGGATTGTGTAGACATCCATCCATGTTAGCCAACCAGTCAATTCCACATATATTTATTGAGCATCTACTATAGGCCAGATGCTGTGCTACATAATGGAGGGATAGTGTGCATCCTTACAAAAGGTCATAAGCCAAAGAGGCCTTTGGAGATTTTCTGGACTTCAAAAGATACTTATCTAAAGCTTCATTTAATATGTTACCCTCTTCAGAATGGGGCATCAGCCAGGTATGGTGATTCGCACCTGTAATCCCGCTACTTTGGAGACTGAGGCAAGGGGATCAAATGTTCCAGGCAAGCCTCAGCAACTTAGAAAAACCCAAGAACATCTGAGAATGAACATCTTGGTTTTCCCTTCTTTTCTCTTATTGTACTGGAAATTGAACTCAGCATTGCTAAACCAATGAGCTGCGTCCCCAGTCCTTTTTAATTTTTCTTTTGAAATGGGGATCTCACTAAGTTTCTGAGGCTGGCCTCAAGCTTGTGATCCTTCTGCCTCAGTCTCCCAAGTTACTGGGATTACAGAAGCGTGCCACTGTACCCAGTTTCTTAGTTTTGTTCATCAGAACTATATTTTGTGGTGGGAGATCAAGGAAATGAGGAAGGAATGCTAATAAGGGTGGGATTTCTTCGGGGAATAATGAAAATATTTTCTACTAAGATTAGACTATTTCTAATAGGAACAAATTTGTGAAAAACACTGAATTATAACACTTTAAATGGGTAAATTATATGATTCATGAATTATATTTCAATAAAACTGATATTTTTCAAAGTGGTTGACAAAACCCTCAGGTATATTTTGTTTTGATTAGTTTTGGAACTATCTGGGATTCAAATTATCCATATACCCACTTAACAGTCAATTACTGGATACTTTCAATGTGTCAAATATTGTTCCAAGTGCTAGGGATCACAAGATACATAAGAAACTACACCCTGGTAAGTTGAGGGGAGAAACATGCATATTTAAATGAGCAATTACAGTCAATGCCGACAATCCAGATTTGTAATTTGTGTAACTTGTTTGGCCTTTTGAGATTTGAAGAAGGGATAGGCTTCTCCCAGAATAGATCCTTTCAAAACAAAATTTAAGGCCTGGGGATATGGCTTGGTGGTAGAGCACTTGCCTACCTATGTATCAGGCCCTGGGTTTGATTCCCAGTAGTGCAATAAAGGAAAAGAAATTTAGCATTGACTTAATCTGAATAAGAATTTCTAGACTTTTTTTAAAAAAAAAGAAAGAAAATGTTGAATGATGTGTTTTAGGATCTTTCCTAAAGATTTCTCCTTTAGGAAACATTAACTTTGTTCAGTAAGCAAAACTAACGTCCATCCTTATTTTTCCCTTCTAGTACTATCATCCGCATTATAATGGACTGTGATGTAATAACATGAACACATTTCCAGACAGTTTCTCAAAGGATGCTCCTTTCTGATTTCATCACCTTCTCACCAAGTTGGGAGAAGAGAAGCACTGAAAGCTAAGTACTGAAGAAAATTGACAACTAGTGTTTGCCATTACCCAAGGACTTGGGTACAAAAATGTTCCCCCACTATGAGATGTCAATTTTCAGTGTGCAGATGGACTGAATTACACAGATTTTTCTCAGCCAATAACCATACATTTATACAAATGTTACCTTCCAACATGGAATGTTCCAATCAGAAAGACCATCATTGGTTGCCAAGCTACGGGAAGAACTTAAACATACACTGTGTGAACAGTACCTTACATTTCTAAAATCCCAAATGTAGGAAAAATATACAGACATACAGATATATAGACCAACTCTTAGTAATAATATGAAATATACTTAAAGAGTTTTTAAAACTTTGTATTTTTGTACAAAATATTTTGCCTTTTACAATTATTTTCCCTTTTATTGGCATTTTACCAATATAATGCATGGAGCCAAAGAAAACAATAATGGTACTAATAAAACATCCTAGTTTTTTTGTCAGATTTAATTCTACCTGATGGCAAATAATTTTTTTTTCAGTTGTGGTTTAAAAATATAATTAAATATATGTGTATATATATTTTTTTTAATGTATCATTTTTTCAGAACAGTGAATCTCTTGAAGTGTCTAGAAATATCCTTGCAGGTTTTTCTGGTACAAATCAAGCCTGAGCACATATATGGCTCAGTCAAGCAGGCTCTGTCTTCAGCCCATCATTTGTCACCACCTTCGATGTGTGCCTGGCCAGCCCCAGTGGAAGTGGTCAATTTCGAATGTGCTTTGGCTTCATGTTGGTGGAGCAGGGGTGATGGAGAGGCATCTGCAGGGTAGGGAAGAGCCCCAGATCTGGATGTCTGGAAGGCCTTGTTTTATGGCTGATGTGGGAATACACATGGTATCAGGCCCACCCCAGAGCTGATACTCAACTATCAAGAGAGTATGGTGTTGCATCAGCCAAAGGCAGAGATACTGGAAAGATGGAACCCGTTATATGCTACCTGGAACATTTGTCTGTCTGAAGTCAGATTCCAAAAACAATTCCAAGGCACATGCACGAGGAAATACAAAAAATAAACTTCTGGCCTCTATCTTGAACTTTTACAAAGAACGTTTCCTCCAAAACCATCCTCCTTCCACTCCTTGACCTGCCTTTGAAAAGTCTACCATGAAAAGTGCTGAAATAGGGCACTGAGTATAACTGTTGCTCAGAGGGAAGATTCCATCGAACAGATTCCCTCTCCCCACTCCCAAGGGTCTTCCCAGCAGTGCTGCTACCTAACCCAAATAAAATGGCGAAAGAATAAACAGTTTGACTTTCATACCTGCACCTGTGTTGCTTTACCTCTGATCCCCATTTGTGCCATTTCACAGCTGGGAAAGACCATCTCCAGGCAAATTTATGCTCTGATATCCTGTCCAGGTGGCCTGGTCAGGCTTTCAGGACACTGTCTCATGAGCTTAAATTGTAGGAGCTTGTGACATGAGGCAGACACTGAACTCTAAGACCTTTTCAGACTCAAGAACCTTTTTTTTTTTTTTTAGAAATATGGAAAATTTTTATTTCTGGAAATAGGAATGTGAACACTTTGGTCTTTAAGTGCCAGGCAATTTTATGTTAATACAAAAGAACAAATAGAATTAGCCAATTTTTTAGAATTATTCATTCAACAGGATTCTGCTAGATGCTGAGGATACACTGGATAATAGATAAAGATGAGTCAGTCATTTGTCTCTCAGCCTCATACCAGTCTTCTCTACCCTGAGGCTGTGAAACATCTTTCCCAGGACTGCCAAATGAAAAGAACTAGAAATCAAAAGTGGGGAACATGTTGAAAAGTTATCTTTGTTTTTGTTTATTTTTCCTGAGGCACTGGGGATTGAAACCAGGGCTTTGAGTAAAGAGCTTCCCTACTGAATTATATCCTGGGACACTGGTCTTTTTCAGCCTTCAGACTCAAACGGAAACTTTAGTTTTCAGACTGGAACTCACACCACTGGCTTATTCACCTGGGTCTCCAATTTATTGCAATAAACATACACAAATAGATACATACATACATGTATTCTGTTTCTCTGCAGATCCTAATATATATCTAGGAAGTTTGGAAATCATGCAATGCATTTTTTTCCCCCTGATACTGGCAATAAGACCCAAGGGTACTTTATCACTGAGCTACATCTCTACCCCTTTTCATTTTTTTAAATTTATTTCTTACATACATGACAATAGTGGAATGCATTACATTCATAATTATCCATTCACGGCACAATTTTTCATAACTCTGTATATAAAGTATGTTCCCACCAAATTAAGCCATTATACGTGAGCTCTCTTATTTTTTGCATTATAATTCTTAATATACCTTTATACCACATTTTATCATATCTCGGTGACTCAAAGTGGGGTAGAGAGGGAGAGCATGGGAGGAAGATTACCTCTAGATAGGGAATAGGGGTGGGAGGGAAAGTGAGGGAGAAGGGGAATACAAGGATGGTGGAAGGACACGGTCATCATTATACAAAATACATGTATGAAGATGTGAATTTGGTGTTAACATATCTTATACACAAACAGAGAGATGATCAAGAACCGTTTTAGATTAAACTCAGTCCTTTTTTTAAAAATACTACTCCTATTTTTCAAATGTTAATTAAGGTTTGTCTTTGGAAGAGGGCTGAGAGTCATTCATTGACACAGCACTTGCCTAACATGCATGAGCCCCTGGGTTTGATCTCTAGTCCTACAAAAGAGAAAGAAAAGTTGGAATTAACTATCTGATGCCATCACCAAAATAGAGTCATGCCAGCTTCCACAGCTGCACTTATTCCTCTCCCAGCTTAATAATGACTTACCGAGTGCTTAGTATTTGTCAGGCACTGTACCATAGACCTCGATCAATCACTGTGTCCCCTAATCCTCCCGACAGCCTCATGAAGTGGTCCTATTAACATGCCCCATTTCACAGGCACCAGGGCTCCATGTGGGGACGTGGTTTGCTAGGTCACACCATCATCACTGTGCACAGGAGTCAGGATTCAGACCCAAGCATTGAAAAATGTTTTCAATTCCTTTGGACCCAGTGTCCTTTATAACACACTGAATAAAATCAGATGAATACCATGCATGATGAGGCACTTCATGGACTTCTCTCTGTGCATGCGGTTTACCTATCAGGTTTCTATGAACTCCACAACAATATACTCTTGGAAAAGAGAGTTTTAGTAAAACAGGATGTGGTCTTCAGGCATCTGAGTTGACATGTACTATGAGACGATGGAAAGTGTTTTTCTCTTTAAATGGCTCCTGAAAAATGCAAGCAGGGCTGGGGTTGTGGTTTAATGGTAGAGCACTTAGCTCACATGTATGAGGCACTGGGTTTGATTCTCAGCATCCCATATAAGTAAATGAATAAAAATAAAGGTCCATCAACAACTAAAAAAAATTTTTTTTTAAAAAAAAGATGCAAACATTATCAAGACAAAAAACAAACAAACAAACAAAAAACACCACTTTCTTCTCTTTGATGATCATTGCTCATCAGCTCCCCACCTCCCATCCTTCCGGTGGGTAGCAGTTAGGGTTTATGCTGAAGCACACAAATAGTAGTAGCTGCTCCTATGAGAAACAACAACAAATGTTTAGTGGGTAGATGGAAACTGGCTAACTACACCAGGCTTGCAAAATATGCTCAGACTGGTTTTGAATTCCTGGCCTCAAGTGATCCTCCTGCCTCAGCCTCCATAGTATCCAGAACTATATGCATGCACCACTATGCCTTAGTTATCCATTCTTATGTCCCCAAATACAAGTCTATCCTCCCCTCCTCCCCTGCTAAAGACCTGAAGAATCCCAGTTCCCTGAAAATGCACAGGCAGGGACAATGAGTCCATGGGTTCCCAAATCCTTCTGTGCCTTCCTCTCCAGCTGCAGCCCACCCTCCTCTACCACATACTAGACTGTCACACCATGCTATCTGCGCCTTCCACCACGTCGTTCTATCTTACCTCTGTGGTCTACCAGATTCTCCTGCCTTTTATACTTGGAAAGTACCAGCTTCAAGACTTGGTTCAAAGATCATCTTTTTTGTGGGAATTCTTTCCCAACAAACCTGCCCTGAAAGAAGGACAGATTCTTCCCTCCTTCCAAAGGGTTGCGCCAAATGCTCTGAAAAACTCCTTCCCTTGATGAGACAACCTTCAGATTAGTTGAAAGGTTTAAAAGTTAACCGAACTAGGAAAAAAGTGCATGTGCTGATCAGTTGTCAAATCTTAAAAGAACTGAAGAAGAGAAATCAAGCAAGAGAAATAAAGAAATTCGTGCTCTAACAATTAGTTTTCTGTATATCAAGCATGCAAGTTATTTCTCATTGTCCATGGAGGATTGGTTCCCAGAACTCTGCAGATACCAATCTCCGAGGATGCCCAAGTTCCTTACCTGAAATGATGTAGGATTTTCCCATGCTTTCATATACTTTATTTATTTATTTTTTTAAAATGATGCACACTGCTGTCCTTGGGCCACAGCAGTCTCCAATTTGGGAGATCAGGAGGAAAGCTGGGCAACACCTGGGGGGCAGGAGCAGTGCTGTCTCCTAGCTCTGATTTCTTTTCTTTTTTTCTAATATTTATTTTTTACTTATCGGCAGACACAATATCTTTTGTCTTGTATGTGGTGCTGAGGATCGAACCCGGGCCGCACACATGCCAGGTGAGCGTGCTACTACTGCTTGAGCCACATCCCCAGCCCCTCCCATATACTTTAAATCATCTCTAGATTACTTATAATACCTAATGTAAATGCTATACATATTTGTTATGCTTTATTGTTTAGAGGATAATTTTTCTTAAAAAAATGTACTTGTTCAATATAGACATAATTTCTTTATCTTGAATATTTCAATCCACAATTGGTTGGTTGAATCCACAGAAGTGGAACCTGTGGATACTGAAGGCAGACTACATTAAAATGAATGGAAAACTCCGGGCTGGGGTTGTGGCTCAGTGGTAGGGGGTTCGCCTAGTGTGGGTGAGGCACTAGGTTCAATCCTCAGCACCATATAAAAATAAATAAAAATAAGGGCATTAAGTCCACCTATGATTTAAAAAGTTGTTTTTAAAAAATGAATGGAAAACTGAATAAAAATAATCATATGATGTACCAGATTCATCCTCCTTACCAAAAATACAGTCTGGAGTCAAGGAAAAGCTTTCGAACCCTAGTGTAGTTATTATCATTGCTATCTCCTCCTCCTCCTCCTTTTTTACTGGTTCTTTTTAGTTATACATGACACTGGAATTCATTTTGATATAATTATATAAGCATGGAATATATTTTATTCTAATTGGGACTCCATTCTTATGGATGTACATCATAGTGGGATTCACTATGGTGTGTTCATATACGTACATAGGAAAACCACTGTCTTTCTTTTTCCTATTCCCCCTCCCTTCCCTCATTCCCCTTTGTCTAACCTACTGAATATCTATTCTTCCCCTCTCCCACTTAATTTGGGCTAGCTTCCACATACAGTATGATAGGATATCTCATTTCTTACCATCATACTCAACATCTTTAAAGT